GGGGAAGGCTGGATATAGTGTGGAAATCATATAGAGTAAGTATTAAAAGTTAAGCCTAGGGGATTCACAGATGTATAATTTATTTAATCAGAATTATGTGTGAGCTAGCCAGACAGGAACAATCTATCCAAAGGTGTGAAGAGGTGATAATCCATATGTATTCAGACTAAAGGATTTAGGTAAGGCATTTTGTAACGAGTAAATATCATTGAACGAGTTTTCAAAAAATCAGTTGAAAGTGCCCATCAAAAGTAGGACTCCATTTTCCCTACATATTTTTTTAGGGAAAAAACCCCACAAAACTGCATTTTAACAGTTCTGTGTAATCAATTCATTACTGAATAGGACGCAAAATTATCCAGATAATATTTTGTGCATGCAATGTGTTCTCAAATTCAAACTTCATTTATGTCATCTAAATTTTTTAGCTATGTCTTTCTAATTATATATATATATATATAATTATATATATATTAATATATATATATAATTATATATATATATAAATATATATATAATTATATATATAAATATATATATATAATTATATATATATATATAAATATATATATATAGGATTTCAGAGAGTGTTCATGACTTCAGATTAGACTTCTGTTGCATAATTCAATCTTTCAATTTTGCGTCCAAATAATGCACAGTAATTCATCAGTTTCCACTATTTTCCTTCATGCAGGATGTTACCTGTATGTCTTCTAACTTCATTTTTCCCCAAGCCCTGCCATCACTGTGAAAATAAACTAAGGTAATTTAACTGGCATCAATTACCTCTATATGTGATTTGTGTTTCTTAACTGGATGTTTCCCTTTATCACTTATATTCGGGACACATGAAATACATTCTGAGATATTTATTTCTGAAACCTATGCTGTATTTCTCAGATAAGCTTATTATTTATCTATGTGGAATGGCTAGTGGAGGATAAGAAATATTAGTGCTACTCAGAGTGTCAGAGCCAGTCTTCAAGACAGCTGTTTGTGTTTCACCTTTGTTCTCCCTGCTTTCACTATGACAGAGAGATTGGTAATTTAGAAAAAGTGAAAAACATCTAATTAGCTCTTGATTATTGTACTCAACACTTCATCATCTTTGACTACCTAAAACAGGCAAGAAAACAGAAACAAACACACAAAAATTATCTGAAACAAATCCCAAGCTCTTCAAATATCCAAATATATGGATTAATAAAATTCCATCTTTAGTTTCAAGAATTTTAATCTATAAACCCCAACATTTCCTTATCACATTGTTTCAATATTATGAAGACTTGAAACAATAATTAGCTAATTATTAAAGTAAGATGTTATCTACTTTGCTGTTCTACTTCCATTGTGTTACATTATGAGTTACTCTTAAACCAAGACAAGGCTTAGACTATGGATCCAGAGATGAAAAAATAAGCATTCTAAGAATGTATTTACATCAAGATTGTTACTTTCAAGAAGAAAAGCACATGGAATTCCATAAGTATGTGTACTGCAACCTGCAGCAAACACATGTATGTTCACATAACTGATTCAAAATTTTAAAAAAGAAACAATACTGATTTTTATACCATCCTTTCTATCAGACACAAGTATGTGATGCACTACTGTGTTTTTGGTGAAAAATTTAAAATAAACAAAAATAAATGTATGTCTCTCTCCTCTCTCTCTCTCTCTCTCTCTCTAAATATATATATATACATGTGCATGTATATGTATATATATACACACATACGTATCTCACAAAGTGAGTATTTAATAAAATTTTAATGAAGTGCATATAAGAGTATTCTGCAGTTAATACTTAACCCTGTATTTATTATGGCTGTTATATGCTTATATAATTGGTTACACATAATATTTCAGAGGCAATAAATATATCTTAACAAAAGTTGTATTTAAATGCTTAAAGTTTAGCCTAATAGTCTGATATTTTAATGATCCTATAGAATAATCACATTGCATGGTTTTAGCTCACTTAATAATATGTTATGGAAACAAATTATCATAATTCATTTAGGCTTAAAGTAAAATAATTTTGTTATAGTGCTGAATTTTTATTTCAACATTGTAGTCACATAACTAATTGTGGCGCATGAAACTTATAAATGGGCAATTCATAAATATATATATTGACTTAACAAAATACTACATATCACTTATTTTAATAGCTACATTAAATTAGTAAATAACCATTTATCAATGTCTTCATATTCATGTATAAATTTTATAATAAAATAATAAAACATATACAGAGCAATTACAATTCTAATCCATATCTGTCTATCTTAAATACACAAGATAGTAAACATAGAACAATGTAACACATTGGAGACCATTAACTGTAAAAGTTTAAACAAGTGTTTAGAGAAACCATAATATCTTAGTAACAACAGCCAAGGCCAAAATTTCTTAAATAGGACATAAAAAACTTTGATCATAGAAGGAAAATAAAAAAAAAAAAACTAATAAACTGAAATAAATCAAAATTAAGAACTTCTATTCATCAAAATATATCATCCAGAGAGTAATGAGAAAATCTACCAAAGAGTTGAATGTAGAGTGCAAATATTCAGTGGTGTTGTGGTAAATATTTCACAACCAGCTCTCCAGAAGAAAAACTAAAGCCATAATTTTTGGTGTTTCTCAAAGTATGTTGTGAAAATACTTCTGTCATGACAGATTTTCAAACCCATAATTCTTGACACTTTCATGATTGGTTATGGTTAGTTTTAAGAATGCATTTAAGAATGTAAGAATTAAAAAAAATAAGAATGTTAGTCTAAGAATATATTTAAATCAGGATTATTACTTCGTAAGGAAAAACACATGCAATTCAAACACCATGCATAAAAGGACAATGCAATCTGTGCCATCTACACATTTGCAGAATTGATTCAGAATTTTAAGAAAGATATAATGCTGATTTATTAATTGGTAGTTTTAAATCTTCTACTGGATATACACAATGGCATGTATACATATGTATATACAGCTGTATGTATAAACACAGCCCAGTAAAAGAAGTGCAGATAACTAGTAAGGAAAAAAAGTGGGGGCAAAAGATTTAGAACATTTCAACAAAGAGAGTAGCCACATGAGAAATAAGCACCAAAACAAGTGCTTAATAACATTAGTCTTCAAGCTATTCCAGTTAAAATACCCCTATTCACATATCAAAACTGCTAAAGTTCAGAATGAAAAATCCCAGTGTCAGTGACTATAGTTCTTAAAACTGACAAACACTTGGGGAATTGTCAGTACGTACTGAAGCAGAACATGTGCATATCCTGTGTACACAACAAAATACATGTGTTCTCCAAAAAGACATGTTCTTGATATCCAAATTGGCACTATTGATAAAAACCAAAGTCTGGAAGCTACTTAAGTGCCTATCAATATCAGAAAGGGTTAATAATTTGGTCTATCCACACAGTTGAATACTACACAGCAATGAAAATGAGCAATTTACCATTGCATGCAATTTTACAAATATAATGTTGAGCAAAAGAAACAAATCAGTACAGACTGTATGATTTCATTTATAGCATATTAAAAAGAGGCAAACCCTACTTCTAGAAGTGAAGATACTGCTTATGCTCTGTAGGTTTAGTGACTAGAAGGAGTATAAGAGGGCTTCAAACTACTCTAAAGTTCTTTTTTTAAAAAAAAAAAAAAAAACATATGTTAGTATTGGTTATATGGGTGTTTCATTGTGTAACAATTCACTGATATTGTGTACTTAAGATATAACTAATTTTCTGTATGTATGTTATATAAGATAATTAAAACACTGAAGATAACAGTAATTTAAAAACATTTTTGTTCCTTATTATAAATTGAAATAATTTATTTTAAGAAGTTAATTCAGGTATATTTGTGAAATATAATTTCAAACTTAAAAATAAGGGACATGGGGATAAAATTATTACTCTAAGCGCATCTAAATAATTCCTCCAAATTTTTCCCATTATCAGCAAAGTTCTCCTGGTAGGGCAGAGGAATTTCACTTTCCTCCTATGTGATGCTTTTTAACTTGTTTTTAATAATCCTATATTGAATGTTTCTTTTAAAAGTAATGAAAAAGTATGCCTTACAGATCCTAGAGATGGTTGTTATCTACAGTCATTTAAAAACATCTTTTTCAAGATACACTGCAATAATGCTATATGCCCAAATAAACAGGAGCTTTAATCAACTGCCTTTGTATTTCCAAGGATATCATTTCCCCCAAATATAAAATGTATGATACAAATGCCCACATTATCTGGATTTTATATACTTATTACAAGGTAAATCTTTATTATGTTTACTATTAAGCAACAGATAAACACTGAAAGTTGGCTTACTGAAAATTAATTTCATCAGTTTAACAGTAACACAAATAAACTCATGTTTATTTATATTTTGTAGTCATCAATTATTAGTATAATCAGATTCACATTTTTAACTCTTATTGAATACCTATAACCACAGAAGTTAATTAATAATTAATGCCTTAAAAACTGCGTTAGAAGTCACTTGTTATTTCTTAGCATTTTATTTCCATAGTTACACATTTTACTCTCAACTTTCTGGAGCTCTAACGTCAAGCTTCATGGAGGAACCCAATTTTGATACAACTTGACAGGTGATAAAACAAATTTTACTTTCAATAACTCATTACCATCAAATGGACTTCATTATGAAAAATTTAATAGATAAAATTGTCATTCATGTCCAAATAATTTTTTTAGTGGTACCAATCCTTACCTTTCTGGTCCATGTCTTCAGATTTACATAGAAATCTATCAATGACTATATCAAATAACTGTATTACTACAATTTACCCAAGAACATAAATATTTTTATAGAAAATATCACATAATTTCTTCAACACGTATGGCAAATTCTCAAATGGCTTGTTTGAATTTACTTTACTTTAAAAAAAACTGGACATGATCAAAAAGAGGTAATGAAAATAACTCTAAAATTAGGTATATTAATTATAATCTTACCGTAAGCTCACAGGTTAGGAATTCAAAGAAAATGTTCACCACCCTGAGACCTAGAAAAGTATAACCCAAAACATTTTTTTATTAATACTAGTATTCAATTTAAATTCAAGAACCATAAAAGGTTAGTAATTCAATATGCAAAATGTTATAAGTAATTAGTGTACATATCACTTGAGAAACATTTTTGAGTACAATATTTGTCTGAAATAGCATTACCAGTTACCCATCTTACATCAAACTATTGTGATTTAAGATTAATTATTCTAATTTTGGTTCTTTAACATGCAGTGATGACAAACAAGCAGACAATTATTGTCTACTTTGCTTCTTGTAGGAGTATAGGTGATGGATACAGTTGCAAGCTTAATGTATTTTGTTAGAGAACCTTCTCTGTTACATTCATTTAATAACGTCAAATAAAACATACATCCCCAGACATGAACATTTGCAATCACGTACACATACAGATGTGGCTATCATACCATAATCCTCTTAAATCTTAGCTTTATCCATTTTAATCACTAATAGATAACTCTCCATGATATATTCTATAAAGTATGCAGTAATTTTAAAGGCTATATAGTACTCCATCATTCACTGTATATCATAAAGATATCTGACTTAATAATTATGCTAGTTATTATTATTGTCTTTAAATCAGCTTTAAAATAAGTCAGTTAGTTACCATTGCGTGTGACCTCATACAATAGCTACTGAGCCCTTTATAAAAGTGTTCTCATTTTGATGCAGTGGTAACTTTGTCAGCGCACATTATTCAGCCATCTAGTTTGTTTATTGTTTCATAGATACTGTCATTAATAATTGATAGAAGAAAACTAAATACTTAATATCTGCCCTCAATGAAGAAATTATTAATACTTGCAAACCCTTAAGAAGATTCATGAATGACTGATAGGTCTATAAACAGGTGCTCTACTGTGTAATCTCTACCTAATTGCAATATAAGATAAAATAGAAAAATTGTAATACATTGAGACTTTTATGTCAATTCTTCAACGGTTGGTACTGTTTTGGGAGGAAGCGTTTTTCTCAAGTGCTTATGTATTAAACTGTTTCAACTTGTTTCTACTATAATTGAAGAAAATAGTTTATATAACTTCATTTATCTGATGAAGGAATAATACTTAATTCTTAGGAGGGATTATCGTATGTGAAAGTGAATCTGACAGTAAAATGAACCACTTGAGGGGTGACATAAAATGTTTATTTTTGATGAAATGTTAGAGAAAAACAAAATATCACTATCACAGAGGTGCAAAGAAGTACATTACAATTCTAGTAGACCTTCCAGGTTCATTCATTTACTATCACTTTCTGCTTTCACTGACCCTCTAGGAGCAGGGATGGAGAAGAGGTTTTCAGGAGACCTATTTCTTATTGACATTTGTGAAAGGAGAATCCTCTGTAAAGAACCAAGTGTGGTTTGAAATGTTTGCTCTTTAAAAAGCTAATCAATGAATTAGAGTGAACTTTCTTCTTGCCCTCTCTTTATATCTAACGGTACAGCAAATTAAATTTTGGCCAAATGTTAAAAGGCTGAGTATTAGAATCAACATTTGGCTGAAGCTAAATATTACCATTGTAGAATAAACTTCTTAGATACACAAATTAAAAGTTTTAATTGTTATTACCATTTTATTATTAAAAGTTTGAAGTCAAGCTTTAAGGTTTTCACATTATAGTGCAGATACAATAATTTCTTTTAGCACGATCAGATGCTAGATTATTCCTGCAGGTACTATGTTGCATATTTGCAATATCAAATTGATGCTTTTAACATAATAATGGAATTTCAACATAAAAAGCACATAAAGAGATTTATGTCCTTTTGTTGTATCTAGAATGTTTATCTGCATTTGAAAGTGAATATTTTGATATTAACAATAAATCCAAAAGACATCCTTATTTGTATTATTGACATTGTTTTACTGATCAGATATGTTGGGTATGTAGAGTGTAAATTATAGCTCATATTTAAGTTCAGGGATTCCAGAAATGATATTCAGAATATTTGACTAGTTGGCCTTCCGAGGACAAATCCAAACCAGAGGGGTAATTTTATATATATAAGACAGTCAGGACAGGCGCAGTGGCTCATGCCTGTAATCCCAGCACTTTGGGAGGCCGAGGCGTAGGGACTGCCTGAGCTCAGGAGTTTGAGATTACCCAGGGCAACATGGCGAAACCCTGTCTCTACTAAAAATACAAAAAAAATAACTGGGTGTGGTGGTGTGCTCCTCTAGTCCCAGCTACTTAGGAGGCTGAGGCAGGAGAATCACTTGAGTCCCAGAGGTGAGGGTTGCAGTTAAGCCGAGATCATGCCACTGCACTCCAGCTTGGGCTATGGAGTGAGATTCCTCCTCACACACAAAAAAAAAAAAAAACAGAAGATGGTCAAAGCAGAAATATGGTTTATTCCAATGTTAGCTTACCATTTTCAATGATTTGTGGAGCTTGACTCAGGCAAGGATACATTTAAAAAGGAAAGTGTTGGCTGGGCATGGTGGCTTACATCTGTAACCCTAGGACTTTGGGAGGCTGAGACAGGAAGATTGCTTGAGCGTAAGAGTTCAAGACCATCCTGGGCAATATGGAGAAACCCCATCTCTACAAAAAATACAAAAATTACCCAAGAGTGGTGGTGTGTGCCTGTACTCCCAGCCACTTGGGGGGCTAAGGCAGGATGATCACTTGAACCCTGGATGTTGAGGCTACAGTGAGCAGAGATTGTGCCACTGCATCCAGTCTGAGGAACAAAGTGAGACCTTGTCTCAAAAAAAAAAAAATGTAAATAAATAAAAATAAAAAGGAAAGAGTTTATTTTAACATGGTGTGCATAAATAACTATTTTTGAGGAGTGATTTGTGAGGAAGGACCAGTTATTAAACTGTCAGTGACATTAACACTAGGTTAGAGTTTTATCCTTGATTTCAATAAATTTTATTTCACATAAGACTGTAGCTAAATGAATTGGATCACGTTGGATGTGGTAGTTCACGCCTGAAATCCCAGCACTTTGGGAGGCTGCAGCAGGTGGATCACCTGAGGTCAGGGGTTCGAGACCAGCCTGGCCAACATGGTGAAACCCCCTTCTCTACTAAACATACAAAAATTAGCCAGGTGTGGTGGTGTACACCTGCAGTCTCAGCTACTCAGGAGGCTGAGGCAGGAGAATAGCTTGAACCCGGGATGAAGAGGTTGCAGTGAGCTGAGATCACACTACTGCACTTCCACCTGGGTGACAAAGTAAGACAATGTCTCAAAAAAAAAAAAATTGGATCAGATATACTTCTCTCATTTGTACTAGTTACTTGATGAGCAACCATTCAGAAAGCATCAATGTTAAGCCAAGTAAGCAGACTTCAAAAGAAATTATTGAAAATTTTATAATTCTGGTATTCTAAACCTACCATGCCAAATAAGAAATGCTTCAGTTATGTATGAATGACTATCAAGTTACTTCAGAAATCCTGAAGAGTTATATAGTTCAAGTACAACTTTTGAGTATTATTTTAGTATTTCCATAGATAAATGCCTTTAATGAATGGATTTATTGGAACTACAATGCAGTGTTTGGAGAAATTCATGAAAATAGCATCCTAAATGGTGATTTCTCCCTCCTTAAATGAATTAGAGTTCTTCACCTCCTCTTGACTTAATTTTACAGGGAGTCCAGAAATTTGGGGGTGGGAGAGGAAATTGTACCTAAAATTTTTTGGAAACCTAAAAATTAGAAAAGCATTTTAAATAATAATTTAAAGAATTATAAACACTTCAAAATGATTGGGAATAATTATAAAGGCAGTTTGTTGAGTTTAGAAAATAATATTTAATCAGCAATAGAAAAATGGTACTGCAATAGGATTTCTACAGTTCATCTCATGTATCCTTGATGCTCAGAAAAGTTTTATGTGTTAGAGATTATTTTCCACATTTTCACAGAGGAAAGCTAACTGTTGCCTAAATAAACTACAAAAAGTCTTACTATTAATATGTTTTAAAGTCAAAACTGAACCTGAAATTAATTAAATTCAGAATCCCAGGTAAGTCATATACCAGGATAGAATAATATTAGTAGATAACATTCACGAAACATATAATGAATGTAAGATTCTGATCTCAGTATTTTTATGTATTAACTCATTTAATTCTCATAATTATATTTCTAGTTTATAGAAACTAGTCATATCTTAGCCATTACATCTCTATATGATAGTTGACCATTGTACACTATTTTTACAAGTACTATTTCAATACACATATATTCATTTATTCTTTTCAGTTTTAGGAGTCAAGTAATTTTACATTTATTATAACTCTAATATTATCTTAGTTGGCTGGTCCTTATTAATAACTGCAGTTAACATTTACTGAACACATACTATGTGCCAAGAAGTGTGTCAAAGGCTTTAAGTTCATCTCATTTAATCTCCATAGCAATCCTACCAGGTATTATGAGTATCTAAGTTGTATAAATAAGAACATTGGCTAGAGAGGTAAACAAATATATCCAAGGATAGAGAACTAGTAAGTAATATAGTAGAGTTTAATAATTATTTTATTATTATTTTTTAAGTTCTGGGGCACATGTGCAGCATGTGTAGGATTGTTGCATAGGTAAAATTGCCACAGTGGTTTGCTGCACCTACCAAATTATCACCTAGGTATTACGCCCGGCATGCATTAACTCTTTTTCCTAATCCTCCCCTACCAACTCCACACCTCCCCTGACAGGCCTCCGTAAGTGTTGTTCCCCTCCCTGTATGTTCAGCTATAGTTGAGTTTTAAGCACAAACTTTCCTTCCCTTTAGTTAGATGTAGCTTAGAAATTCAGATTCTTTTTTTGTATAAACTTGTGGGATATAAGTGTAATTTGCTATATGCATATATCACATAGTGGTGAAGTCAGGGCTGTCAGTATGTCCATTACCAAAATAAGATCCATTGTACCCATTAAGTCATTTGTCATCATTCACCTCCCTCCCACCCCCTCAGCCTCTGAGTTTCCACTGTCTACCAACCCAAGCTC